GCGAGCTGCGCTGAGCACTGGGCCGGACCGGGCTGGGCGTGGGGACAAACGGGAGCCAAAGGTTCCTGGGCCAGGGGAGGGATGGAGGGGCTGCCAGTGGGGTGGCACAGCCGCTGGAGAGAGGGCTGGGGGGGAGAAGGGCAAGGAGGCAGGCACGGAACAAGTCAGTCTGAAGGATGATTAGCTGAAGATTTGGAGAAGGACAAAGAGATAGAAATGCTCTTAAGGCTGGAACACTGGTGGTGAACTACTTTCAGAGTAACCAAGGAGCAGAAGATTAGCCTTGAGGCCGATAAAAGCTGTGTTGTGAGGACAGCCTTATCTCGAGCCCGGCTTCAGCTTCACATTCTTGGAAGTGCAGCAGCAATTTCCTGGATGGATCCAGGGCTGCAGCCCATAGTACCTGAGGCCCACACTGCCTTTCATCTCTGAGAGCTGCAGCAGGGAGGGGACCCTCTCAACAAACTGTCCTTGAGAAGCTTCGTGCACAGCACTGTGCAAACCCTCCAAAAAGCYCTGCTTTGTCTGTGTAGGACAGGACCAGGAGCATCTGAGCTCCGAGTTACGGTAAAACACACAGGATGAGAGGAATTATCTCCTTGCTGCTTTTTTCCAGGGTGAGGAGCTTCATTAAAGCTCTGTGCCTGTTTTTATGTCAATTTGGAAGCTCGGCCCTCCMGCTCCAATGTCTCTATACCAGGTGGGAGCATCGCCTCTGGGTTTGGAGTGATATCACCCCTGCCTGAATTGTGGAATTGTTAAGGTTGGAAAASAACTTTGAGATTATCYAAGTSCAGCCATCAACCCAGCACCACCACCATGTTCACCACTAAACCACGTTCTCAAGTCCCACATTCACATATTTTTGAATACTTTYAGGGATGGTGACCCCACTACTTCCTAGCCCTCAGGAATTAACAGAGTGAGACCATGAAAGAACAGACACAAATGGCTTTACACAAAGACTGGTGTATTTGCACTAGACTAGTTCATACAGAGGATGCCTGAGGAATGAATGGTGAGTCTCAGCAGCAAATACAAATATATTTCATTCTGTTAAAACTCACAAAGGACAGACACACTTGTGTTGTGGTGTTGCTGTGCAAAACTTGAGGTGTAATGCACAGGCAACCACATTGCTCTCTTCCCAACCCTTTTTCCTTTGTGTATTTAGAAACAGGAAGACATGAGCCAGTTTAAAAACCAGAACCTGCAAGGTGCCCAGTGATAACCAAGCGCAAACAAAGCAAAGGGAGCTCACCAAAGGAGGTTCCCTTTGTAGTGAATCCGTGTTCCAAGGTCTGAGACAGGTGTATGTGTATCTCTTCATCCTCCCCTCCAGACAAACTGTTAGTTTTGATGTTACACGGAAAAAGTAAAGTAATGTAGAACAAGCATGTAGAAGAGATTAATTCCAAAATCCCCTCTACGTGTGACAAGAAACTTTCCACAACTGAGACAAATGGAAAGGATTTTTTCTCTCACTTTGGTGCAAGTTTATTTATTTTGTACATTATCCATCCATACACCTGTGATACAAATCTATGAACCTGCCACAAAGCATTAAAGCACAACATACCTATTATTCTGTAGACATTTGCATTTTCAATCACCATCAAGCCTTTGTGGGTCAGCAGTGACTCAACTTGTAGTTCTGTAAAAATGCAGATGTCTGGTAACCGTACATACATGAGGGAGAGGAGAACAAAGACGTTCACTTTTATGGAACATTTTTTTTTATATAAAAAAACATTATGTCCCTGGAAGAGCTGGGTGAGTAGGGAATTCTGTAAAGGATCCTGTAAACTCATTTCCTACAGTAAAATCTTAGCCTGCAAGCATCTGCTTGGTGGAGGTTGAGAATAAGGATACAAGAGGACTCACTGATCTTGCAGAGCTGTGAGCTGTTGGCAGATTTGACAAACTTACTGGATACCTGGAGTGCTKGATACAGGTAAAGGGAATGCTCTGCACCCTCTGCTGAGGTCATAGTAGGGCTTTTCCAGCTAGGAGGTTTTCCAGCCTGTGACTGAAAACAGTTWTACTTCTAAGCCATGAATGGCTGAATTAAAATGACCTATTCAATGCAGTTACAACAGGAAGTTTATGTGACAGGAAACACAAAACACAGAGATGAGTATTTGTTCTACAGTTCCCTCACAKGCTAGAAAACCTGTTAACTCTGAAAGCCCTAAAAAATGCTGCTCTGGCTTAGAAACCATCTAGTTGGCATAGGACCACATTTGTTTTTTGCACACGAACATTTCATACACCTCCTTGTTTCTGCATTAAGCATTCTGCATTTCTTTGCCAATCTTGTAGCTGAGGATTTTGTTCCAGTCAATCTTGGTGCGGGTCACGGGCAGCTGCCGGCGTAAGGCTTTGAAAGTGGTGTCTGACATGGTCTGGTAGTTCTCACTGATTGCTGTCTGCAACAGGAGGCAGATTTGGTTAGGGCACTCATAAAACATTGYGAAAAGAAAGCTCAAGAGAAAGCTCAACTCAGTTTTAAAGCTGTGTAAGGCACACTGTTAACTAAATAATGCAGTCACCAGTGTGTGTGCAAGTCAAAGGGTTTCTGTTCAACTCCCCTGTAATAGAGCAGCATCTCCTCAGGTCTTTCACTGACTTAGCACTTTTGAGTCTCCTTGCACACAGGCTGTGGCAATGTAAAGCTGTTGCACAAATTTCCTCTGCAGTATTTTTAACTGTCACAGGAGAAAGACTCACCCACTCCCCTCCCATGCTTGTTCCAGGTATCATTCATAACCCTTTAAAAAAACTGTACAGCAAACTTGATAGTTAAGTACAACACAACTTTATAACAATATTGTTTATGTAAGTACTACTGCCCTTTTCTAAGTAATTCTTCCAGTCAATACCAAATTCAACCAGAAACATAAT